AGCTACCACATGCCATCAGAGCAGGGGCGTCCCTCTCTAACTTCAAGAAGCTCTTGAAAACTCATCTCTTCCGAGAACATTTCCTTATAACACCTCTAACTCCTAACCTCTAACATGCACTTCCTGTGCTCTTCTTCTTCTACCCCTACAATGATCTTGTATAGATTGCACTTTTTGTTTTGATTGCACTTTTTGTTAACTCTTACTTCTTTCCCTAGGTATCTACCCCATTGATGTGATATGTACTGTGAGCTCTTACTAGTATTTATTGCTGCTCTTACTAGTATGTTTTGTCAGTTGTAGATCTGTAGTTGATGCTCTGTTGATGCTTGTATGTTGTTCCTCAAATGTAAGTCACTTTGGATAAAAGCGTCTGCCAAATGAGTAAATGTAATGTAAATGTACTGACCCCCCGTGTATTCTAGTTGTGCCATGTTCTGATTATCAGTACTCAAAGTTGGAGTTTAATGTGGTAAAGTAAAGCCTCAAATCTGTTTTGTCATCCTGGTTGTCTTAGAATCAGAACTGCTGAATGCATGTACCTGCATGTGATATTGACGAAAATGTGAGACATGGACTGGACCATGGTGCCCTTGGTACGAATGAATTCATGATGCAGACACTAGAAGAAGAAGCCGTTGCAGTTTTTGCCATCTTGGATGGTGTGATTTCCTCCGGTGCCTCCTGTATGCTTGGATTAGCACATGTGTACAGTGATGCCACAATCCAAGAGAATTACAGCCATTCATTGTGCTTTGCCTCAATTAATCCTGATCCAGGTGTTTGGGTACGATATCACAAGATCTCTGACGTAATTGCTGACGTAATCTGCACTCTGCGCATGCGTTGGCGTCTGTAGCCACCTGTCGGAAGCTCCGCCTTAAACCTGACTCTTATTAAGAAAGCGAACAAGAAGATTGCTGACCTTATGGAAGACATCCGACGACTTTCAGAGGAACTCAAAGAGAAAGATTCCCTGCTGACTGGCTTTATGGATGTGCCTTCAGTACAAGCCAAACAGATCGTTTCTCTTAGCGCAACCGCTAACATCCAGGACACCGTGTTTTGGGACCCCTCTAGCCTTCCGAGGCTTTCATCCTGCTCGACTCCAAAGCATCAGTCAACCTGGGCTGAAGTGGTGGTCCGTGGCTGCAAGAGAGGCTCGGATGGGGCTGCCTATCCTCCGCACATCAGCCTCTCCAACCGCTATGCAGCCCTGTCTAACGACACTCCGGTCCATCCAGCGGATGCGGATGCACCTGCGGCTTCGAGTCTCCCTGATACGGATCTCTTTCGGCGGACAGTGCCTGCCGATACTGTTGCATCTCCTCCACTGGCTTTTTTAAAAAAAAACTCCAGGACCTGATGCAGTCGCTCCCGTCCTCCATCACAAGAGTGATAGTCCATGTCGGAACAAATGACACAGCTCTTCAGCAGTCTGAGCTGACAAAATCAGATTTTAACCGTCTTTTTAACTTTTTAAAGCAGTGTGGAAAGTCCGTTTTTATCTCTGGTCCCATTCCCACAGTTGGTCGCGGTGCTGGCCGCTTCAGTAGACTCCTTGGCCTCCACGACTGGCTCACCGTGTGTTATATGGATAATTTTAATATTTTCTGGCAAAGAATGTCTCTTTTTAAGACAGACGGACTTCACCCAAACAAACGGGGCTCAAAAATGTTAGCTGCGCACATACAGCATGTGGTGCGGTCCACACATGATTTATGTGAATGACTAATCATTCATGCAGCACACCTGGACACACCACCGCTCACTCAACAGATCTCTGCCTCACTGCCACAAACAACTGTCTCCACCTGCTGGCATGTAAAGCCGTCTGCTCCCAGCGCTGTTCCAAAGACTTCTATTCCTGTCATCATCACAGTCAGTACTCTGGTTTTAAATTATGACAGAATTGTTCTTTGTGGCGATTTTAATATTCATATTGATGACCCCACCAATGTTAATGCAACTAACTTTTAACTTCAAACAACATGTAAAAGGGCAAACCCATAACCGTGGTCATACACTGGACACTGGGTGTCAGCATTTCCTCTGTGGAATTAGTGGACATGACCATATCTGACCACAGATGTATTGTTTTTAGCTGTGATTCGCCTGTTACTCATGCCGCCTCACCAAGCTCCGTGTGTTCTCGCATCTTTAATGAACAAAGTGTTTCAAAGTTTTGCGCATTCTTTCAGAGCCAAAGCCAACACCTGTCTGATTCCAACACCAACAATCTGGTCGATCACTTCAATCATATCTGCTTGTCGTCACTAAATATTACTGCTCCTCTAAAGGTTAGGCCTACGTCTAAAGCTAGTAAGCAACCCTGGATAAATGACAGCATTCGCAGCCTAAAAAGGGAATGCAGGAAAGCAGAGCGCAGATGGAAAAAATCCAGTCTCCAAGTCCATTACCTCAGTCTGAAGGATTTATTAATTAACTACAATAACATGGTTAAGGATGCGAGAACACACTATTTTTCTGAACTCATTACTACACATAAACACAATCCCAGGTTTCCCAGGACTGTGGATCAGCTGGTAAATCCAACCCCTCCTTGTGCCTCAGCTGGAAGTAATGATGACTGTGAATTGTTTTTATCTTATTTTACCAATAAGGTGGTGTCAATCAGAGCCTCTATTACCCCCGCGGCCTCTTACTCAGAGGTTCCTCACCAGCAACAAGAGAGTTTTAACCAGTTTTATCCCATCGACTTGTCTGAGCTTTTAAAAACAGTATCACAAATGAGAGTGTCCTCCAGCCCACTTGATGTAATACCTACAAAATGAAAGAGTGATTCTGTTCATTTGATCTCTGTTTTTAACAGCTCCCTATCTACTGGTTGTGTCCCTGATTATTTTAAAACGGCTTGCGTGAACCCACTTTTAAAGAAACCTGGTTTAGATCCCTCCCTCCCACATAATTTTAGACCAATTTCAAAACTGCCTTTTATTGCAAAGATTCTAGAAAGAATTGTGTCCAAACAGCTGCTCACTGTACTGGAAAATAACAAAATATTTGAAAAGTTTCAGTCTGGTTTTAGGAAGTACCACAGCACTGAGACTGCCCTGCTTAAAGTCACCAATGACCTTTTAATGTCTGCTGATGAAGGCATGTGCTCAGTCCTGGTACTCCTGGACCTTAGCGCTGCTTTTGACACCATTGATCACAACATCATGTTAGACACACTGAGGCACTGGGTGGGGATCTCTGGTACTGCCCTAGGATGGTTTTCATCCTACCTGTCAAATAGGAAGTTTTGCGTGTCTGTAAACAACTATGTCTCCTCATTCTGTCCAGTTAAAGTCTCAGGACCCATTTTGTTTTCCTTGTATCTGCTTCCCCTTGGACATATTATCCATAAACATGGCATTTCTTTTCATATTCATGCTGATGACACACAAATATACTTGCCCGTCAGATCTACAGACCCTGGAATGCTGAGTTCACTTAACAACTGCCTTTGTGAAGTTAAAAAATGGATGTCAAATAATTTCCTCCAGCTGAACTCAGACAAAACAGAAATCCTGGTCATCGGGTCTCAGCAGATGGCAAATCAAATACTGCCATCTGCTGGTTCCCTAGTAAATCACATTAAGCCTGTGGCAAAGAACCTTTGTGTTTGGTTTGATAGTAATTTAAATTTCGAGCAGCACACCACAAAGCTTGTTCAATCATGTTTTTATCAACTTAGAAATATAGCAAAAATTCGATCTATGTTAACTTTTAAGGACACCGAGACCATTTTACACGCCTTCATCTCATCACGCCTGGATTATTGCAACAACCTTTTCACCTGTTTAACCCAAAAATCTATTGATGGACTCCAGACTGTCCAGAACTCAGCTGCCAGGCTTTTAACCAGAACAAAGAAATATGACCACATTACTCCTATTTTAGCTTCATTACACTGGCTCCCAGTATGTTTTAGAATTGACATTAAAATTCTATTGATCACTTTTAAAGCTCTTCATGGCCTCTCGCCTTGTTATATTTCTGACCTTTTAGTCCCATACGCACCAGCACGTACCTTGAGATCCTCGGGCAGAGGTCTGTTGTCTGTTCCAGAGTCTCGACTGAAAACTAAAGGGGACGGAGCGTTTGCTGTCAGGGCCCCGAGGCTCTGGAACAGCCTGCCCGAGGGAAATCAGGTCGGCTGAGTCAGTGAACTCTTTTAAGTCCCTTCTTAAAACATACTTTTATAGGAGAGCTTTTCCCGATCTTATTTGACTTTATTTTATCCCTTTTATTTTATTGTATTTTACTAATTTTATATTAATTTTTCATGCTCTTATCTTGTTTTTTTTTATTATTCTTTACACTTGTTAAAGCACTTTGTAACTTGTTTTTGAAAAGTGCTCTACAAATAAGGATTATTATTATTATTATTATTATTATTATTATTATTCAAATACCCAGTTCAGGATTTTAGCCAAATGATCTCCTACAATGGAAACGGGTGCCAGAGCAAACATGAGCATGTGCTGTCATATACCTACAACACCATAAGACAGCTGACACATTCATTACTCAATGCCCAGTACATGGAAGTTTTTCAGGGAGAATTTTGATTACAGTTACATACAGTATGGGATGTTATGATTAAACCAAGATAAGTGTGTAATAACAAATTGAATCTATAGAAGATTATTTAATTGCACTGATAAAAATATGTAATTGGTTGCATTTTGGGAAATGTGGAATCCTGTTTTTAGTTTGTTATGATTTGCACATTTGTCTATATTGTAAAATCAATAAAATTATGAATTATAGAGGGCAAATAGTAGGCATTCAATTCAGTGATTTTAATTAGACATGAGCATAGAGAGGTATTATGAATGCATTCATTATGATGTGATTCTTAGCCATCACATCACCTAGGGTGAAGTCAGGGTCAGATGAAGAGACAAGGACCGTTGTCTTGACTAATTTACTGCGTTCTCCGAGTGGGAATATTTCCGACAGGCCTTGAAGGCGGCAGCATGTTGTGCCTGCCTCCGGCGGTAGATGGCGTCCCTGTCCAGCCTGCTTCACGGCACTGAGACAGCTGAGTCACACATACATTTAGACCCTGATAAACAGATAGTGCGAAAAAGAGCGACTAGAGTCGAGAAATTGCCGTGAATATACTAATTTTGGACCCCAGCTGCCTCTGACACCGCGTCGAAACATGCTGACGATAACAATGAAGACCCTCCAACAGCAGACGTTCAAAATAGAAATAGACCCAGAATTGACGGTGAGTAACGTTAGAAGTTAACGGGGCTGAAGTAAACACGGTCAGGCCGGGAGGGCTGGCACATACACTGTAACGTTAACGTTAGCATACGGGAATGTTAGCTAATGTTGAGACATGGCCGCGCCAAAGGCTGCTTAGCTCTAAAAAGGAGATAGGCTAGTTCCTTTGCTTGTTTGAAAAAGCAGCGTTACGTCAATGTGACAAATATGCGGCCAGATAAGTTGGCATTTGTGCAGGATCGTACTGTGACAGAGTTCATGTCAGGTAATGTAGGACTGAGTTAGAGCGTGAATTGACCGGAATTGAGCAAGTATCCCTTCAAGGTAAAAGCGTAACAGTTTTAATTGAATTACATTGAAATACAACGAACACCCTACGCTTTGCGAATTAATTAGGTAAAAAATACAATGAAATATATAGTATACAAATATAGTTTTGACTTTGCTTCTTGGTATTCCTAAGGACGTAAAAAAATGTATGAGCGGCTTGGAGGCTTTATATTGAAAACACCGACCGGAAATGTTTTTTCTACTTTCTTTCATCTTGATAGTGTTTGACTAGTTTCTGATTCTCACCATGAATGACGATGCAGTATTTGAAACCTGTTTTCTGTTAAGATAGTAATAGGAAGACTAATAAGTAAATCTTTGTTAGAGAAAATGTTAGAGAAAGTCTTGTCGAGTCTTCTTATCATACAGCAAGCAACATGGAGTAGTTAATATTAGGTGCTTGATGTTTATGTTATCACGTGAACCATATCACTTGAGCTAACCTAATCTTAAACACAAGCGCGCACCATTACACCACCTAAAATGTCAACATTTTTTATTTGTCACCAAATATGGTAGCTTTTTTCAATCATTGCGAGGATCTACTTATTTAACAATGCTATAATTCTCCCAGGTCATATTATTATTATTTAGATTATACTTCTTACACAAATAGAAACTAACAGTACAAACAGTGATCCATACTCAAATAAAAAACAATACAAAAAACATCTGTGTCAGACAACTAATGACAAATGGATACACAAAAAAGCATGTTTACATAAGTAACTCACTAGACAAACAGATTTTTTTTTAAGTCCTCAGAACATGGATCTTAAAAGAGTGCATATGGCATAATAATTACTCAGAGCATATGATTATCTCTCCATTTAGAGAATATCAACTTTGGCCAACATCTATAGCCAGTTTTGTATAATGTTTCTGATTAACAGTCTACACAGAAACCCTTGTGTACAGTCTGCTGGCCTGACTTAATACACAATTCTTTGAAGAACACCAGTGTTGAAAATGAACACATTCCCATAATAACACAGATGATATTCGTCAGGCCTTGCGCTGACCTTCTCTCATTTTCAGTGACGCAGAGTAACATTTGGAGTGGATTCAGTTTCAGTTACTCTCCCAGTAATATCAATGTTTTATCTGTTGATGTTGTCAGGTGGAAGCCCTGAAGGAGAAAATAGAGGCGGACAGAGGAAAAGATGCATTTCCTGCTGCAGGACAAAAACTCATCTATGCAGGTGAACAAGAGGATTTACAGAGGACAAAACACAGTGAAATATCATTCAGTTACACCAAAGCCCCAGAATATGCTCACATAACTCACATTGTTTTTATCAGTTGTTCACCTTTCAAAATCATTGCTCAAGGTGTATATTTAATTGTAACCATAGCAGCAGTGCTTAGAATTCACAGATGTGAAATTAACCTAACCATGGGCTAAAATCACTACAAACACACTTCAACATGGATTCTGATTTTAAATAAAACTGCAGTTTTTCTGTGCCTATGGTCTAAGAGCCAAAATACACTCCTAGGTGTCCACATGTAGAAAAAGATGGGCTAAGAAACAACACTTCACTTCACATACATAAGTAAGGAGATCAAAAAATACAAGTACAAGTATACAAAAATACAATAATACTATAAAATGCTGACAAGTTCACAACATGACCATAAAGCACAGTTGTGCGTAGAGAGTCATTGACAGTAGGGGGCCCAGTCCTTGTTGATAAGGTGGGGTCTGCAACACTTGATAAGGAGTCTGAAACAGTTTGTGTCCAGGGTGGGAGGGGTCAGCTGCTATATTTACTGCTCACTTCAAAGTGGTACAGGTCCTGAAGAGAAGGAAGATTGCAGCCAATCACCTTCTCTGTGGAGCGAATGATACGCTGCAGCCTGCCCTTGTCCCTGGCAGTGGCAGCAGCGTACCAGATGGTGATGGAGGAGGTGAGGATGGACTCAATGATGGCGGTGTAGAAGTGCACCATCATTGACTTTGGCAGGCTGAACTTCTTCAGCTGCTGCAGGAAGTACATCCTCTGCTGGGCCTTCTAGATGATGGAGGTGATGTTCAGCTCCCACTTGAGGTCCTGGGAGATGATGGTGCCCAGGAGTTGTTACAGCTGTTGCTGTAATGCAGCCTTGAGGGGAACCGGTGCTGATGGTCCTGGAGTCAGAGAGATTGTTTCCCAGCTTCACGTGCTGCTTCCTGTCCGTCAGGCAGTCTTTGATCCACCTGCAGGTGGAGTCAGGCACGCTCAGCTGGGACAGCTTGTCCTGCAGCAGGGCCGGGATGATGGTGTTGAAAGCAGAGCTGAAATCCACAAACAGGATCCTGGCGTAGGTTCCTCGGGAGTCCAGGTGCTGGAGGATGTAGTGAAGGGCCATGTTCACTGCATCATCTACAGACCTGTTGGCTCTGTAGGCGAACTGCCGGGGGTCCAGGAGTGGGTCTGTGATGGATTTTAGGTGGGACAACACAAGGTGCTCAAAAGACTTCCTTACCACAGAGGTCAGGACGACAGGTCTGTAGTCATTTAGTCCCGTGGTCCTTGGTTTCTTGGGGACAGGGATGATGGTGGAGGCTTTGAAGCAGGCTAGCACATGGCATGTCTCCAGTGAGGTGTTAAAAATGTCTGAACACCGGAGACAGCTGATCAGTACAGTGCTTCAGGGTGGATGGGGAGAGAGAGTCCGGCCCAGCTGCTTTGCGAGGTTTCTGTCTCCTGAACAGTCTGTTGACATCCCTCTCCTGGATGGTAAGAGAGGGGGAGGAGGTGGTGGATGAGATGGAGGACTGTGGCCGGTCAGTGGTGTGACGGGGGATGGTGTCAGATCTGTCCCATTGTCTTTCAAAACAACAGTAAATCTGGTTCAGCTCGTTGGCAAGGTGCGAGTCGTTCATGGAGTGGGGGGTTTTAGGTTTGTAGCTGGTGATCTGTCTGAAGCCTCTCCAGACAGAAGCAGAGTAATTTTTTGAGAACTGGTGTTGTAGTCTCTCTGCGCACAGCCTTGCTAAACCTGTACTTTGACTTGACTCCTTAAACCTGGCCCGGTCACCACTCCTAAATGCCTCCTCTTTTTCCAACCTCAGCTGTCTGAGTTTAGCTGTGAAGCAGGGTTTGTCATTGTTATAACTCACCCTGGTGCGTGTTGGAATGCAGCTGTCCTCACAGAAGCTGATGTAGGACGTCACAGCCTCTGTATATCTTAGAATAGCTCATGGTTTTTGCCTACTTAAAGTACTAAAGCCACATTGAGAATACTCAGTGAAGCACCCGTGAACTTGCTCAAATTGATTGATTAGGTGGTTATTTATTAGTCCAAGGTTTGATTTTAGGTGATGCCCCCAACCCCCTCAACAGCTAAATGTCTGTGGACATGGGGTATTTGTTACATTTGTTGTCAAATTGCTGTTACTGTGTAATGGTGCTTTCAGACCAATAGCGAAGTGAGCGTTGGGGGTGTACAGTACAAGTCAATACAAAGACGCGTAGGGGGAGCGGAGGGGGTGAAGTTGAAAATTTCCAACTTGAGCGAGAAAGTCGAGGAGAGACGGAGAGCTGCTAAACTTGGGGGGTGAGTCGAGGACAGAGATGGGAGCAGTGCTGCAGCTTTTGGACACAAACACCTGTAGTCGGTCTGGATTCTGTTCTGACAACTACCACGGAAGGAGCTCGGAGTAATCTGCTTATTAAGTTAGATTTTTACTTTAGTTTTTAGGATTACAATGTTGATGTATCTTCACTGGAGCTTCTCAGCAGCTAGCTTCCATGCATATCCAGTTCCAGTGTTGTTCTTAGCAACAGAGCTCTGTTGGACTACTACTTCATATTTATATAAAACATGGACAAAACTGGATATTGCTGGGAGAAAAGAAAGCGAGGAAGTTGAACTACCTGGTGAGTTCAGAAAATATGTGTATGTAACATTTTAGAAGTTGTTGTCATGCGGTCCTGCTGACAGACCTGACAAAGCATGAATTCAAATGTTTAACAAATCTCCATCATATTGTAGTTATTTCGGCATCAGTTTGATCTGTTCCGACTGTGTGAGTAAATGCAATTCAACACAGCACTCACTTCAGCATTTCACCACATACATAAAATGTACAGAGGTCAAACCAAAAAAGTGCTTACATAGGATAATAACGTATCCACTGTGTACCCCTGATATGTCCTAACTAGAAACTGTTTGATTTTGTTCCATATTTTCCCATAGTCATAAATCTTTTCTCATTTGCTGTTTCTCCTTGAATGTCACAGGCAAAATCTTAAATGATGACACCCCACTGAAAGACTACAAAATCGATGAGAAAAACTTTGTGGTGGTCATGGTTACGAAGGTTAGTGTCTCTTCAAATTGTTGTTTTAGACAGAGTATGTCATCCTCACCACTCTGCTCTGAACAGAAGTATTGTATTGCTTTTGTTCACTAATTATTTCCAGCTGCCTTTTATTTTATGTTGCTGTTAAGCTTTTGTCAGTGGTAATCACTTGGACTTCCTCCATAGACATTTTACATCAGAAATGTCCATGGAATACATTAAATGATCCCAGAAATAATTGCGTTTAATTATATCATTTGTCATTTTAAGACCGTTTTATGACACTTATATAATGATAATATCATAATAATGAATATACACCCTTTCAAAGAGCAACAGAATATTTTATTCTTAAGAATATTCAGACGTTAGAATTGAAATATCAATTTAAATATCTTACATAATTAAAACAAAAACAAATAAAACCACACAACCAAAACAATAAATAAAATTTACTCTGTTAACAAAAATTGCACTAAATATTAAACATTTGGCACAGGGGTATAAAGATTCATTAAAATTGAACAAAGTAACAAATTAAAGTTAAATAAAGTATGACAGTAAACATACAGGCTCGTTGACAGTAATTGTCTCTTCTCTTCCATTTGGCTAAAAGCCAAAATGAAAGATCATCTGATCAACTTTATCAGTGAGGCAATCAATTTTTCCATAGATATTCTTCATTTAGCTGACGCTTTTATCCAAAGCGACTTACAATTGCTATATATGTAAGAGGTTGCACACTTCTGGAGCAACTAGGGGTTAAGTGTCTTGCTCAGGGACACACTGGTGTCTCACAGTGGATTCGAACCCGGGTCTCTCACATCAAAGGCATGCGTCTTATCCACTGCTCCATCACCACCCCATGTATATCAGGAATTCATTAAAGTAAAATCAGATTTAAATGCATTAACAAATGAAAAACTGAATCTTGCTTTGTATCAATTGAATAGTAAAAATTGTGAAATGGGAGAGAAAACAGGGATATTACTCGCTGGAAAACACCAGAATGATTCCAGCCAGACAGTCTGATGGTACTATTATTAAAGATCATCAAGGTATTAATAAAAGGTTTAAGGAATTCTATTAAGAACTATATAAAAATGAAAATACACCAACAGAAGATGATCCAGCTATTTTTTCAGTGTTGTCTCTAATTGAAAGAAAAGAACTAAATAAAGAAATTACAAAATCCAAAGTCATTAGAGCTATCAACTCCCTAACTTTTCTATATAAACTTTTATTGACCTACTTGCAAATAAACTTCTTGAAGTGTAAAAATATGAATACTTCAGTAATTACTTTATTAGCTAAACGAGGGCTGTACATACCAATTATTTTTCAAATCATAATCGATAATCTAACGATTTTTTTTCAATTAGTCGATTAATCTAGACTAATTTTGTGTATTTTAAAATAAAAAATGCAGCCTATTACTCGATTAACATAACAATTGATCCAGAATAAATATCAAAAACATTTCTAATCAATAAATCAATATTTTATTCAATCATCCTGATGAAGCACATTAGAATAATGACATTATTAACATCTTAAAATTAATCTAAAATACACGTCACTGATGTGTTGTGATAATAACAATAACAGACATTAATTAGGTTACTTTACTTAAAACTTTAAATGTTTCTGACAAGGATTTATTTCAGTATTAAGTAATATGTAATACCATAATCACAGGCAAATGTGTTTTTGCGTCAGTTGGAGGGAAAAGAAAACAACTGAAACAATTCACACAGTCACAGATTGTCTGTAATGTCACTTTCAGCTGTTTTCTCGCTCACATGTGGCCGTTAAATAAACAGAAAATATGAAACGGTCAAACTTTAGATGACACACGGTGTAACCATAAGTGGAGGTAGCGTGGGCACATGGGGGCGGCCAACCCAGGGCCCACACTGGTAGGGGGGCCCACCACGTGAACTATGAAGTTTAGGTCTGCTGATTATAGTGGACACAAACTAACAACCACAGTGTGTGTTTTCCTGAGAGAATTCAGCAGCTCTTATCAAATGAAACAGTCCCTTCACTCATAGTTTCAATGGTAAACCACCACAAGAATGACAATTACCAACAAACACACTAGATTCCAAGGAGACACATTTTAATAAACAAAAATCATAAAGTAACATTTGTATTTCAAACAAATGGCAAACTTATTAGCACATTTTAACAAAACTCCCTTCCCTCATGCATCATGGGAATTTTGAGGGAGGGGCGTGTGTAGGCTGTGTGTGTACAGCAGTTTATTTACAGCGTCAGCTTCCACTGCCCCACGTTAATGACTTGTTTTAACTGTCCTTTTTGTGCTTCTACTACATTCTTCAGAGCTCTCTGTGACTAACTCTCCTTTCTCATCTTTACGGGTCCGTGCATCTAGCAAGGGAGCATTTCAGAATAAGAGCGTTTTACCTGCCGGACTTTGCCGACATGTTTAGATTTTGTTGGTTTGGTGATTAGTGCTTGTTTTTTGTGCTTCTACAATGATTAAGTTGGATCTAACTGTGTTTATTGTTGATATACGATCGGAAGTCTATAACGGGTATTTTGTTTTGAAAATTTACCGTTTCTCTGCCGTTTCTGTGTCTGACTTCCTGCCCGGTTCATCTGCGCTGTGCTGCTTGACGCTGGGACGCTTCCTGGACGCACTCAGTCTATGGACGCACTGCAGTGCTTCCGGTGTAAGCAAAGACATTTAGTAGAATGGCTGCTCCGGCAGCAGCGAAGCAGACAGACTCTGTGGCCTTTCAGAGTGAGTCTGGGGTCGCGTAAACTTGGTTAATATGTCTATGTAGCAGGTGTGCCCGTGATAAAGCTCCGCCCTCACTGTGCTGACAGTCTAGCTCTGCCCCCAGGTGTAACGTTACCATGACAGCAGCGGGGAAGAAATTAGTTTTAACATGAAGGAGATGAAGAAATACTTTTATACATTTTAACCGACTACGTTTCCTTGTGCTGCTGATGTGCCGTGCTTGTGTGGAGACAGAAAGTAAACAGGATTTGCGGTGCTGCCGTCTAGACAAAGTGCTCCGGGATACTTTCGCTTCACATATTCGTGGACAGCAGTTGTGCTGCAGTGAAGCCATTTCCAATCCACAGAGCTCACAGAGCAGCATGTTGTTGAGTGCCTGTTTAACATACTCCCAAACTTTAGACGGTTGAAGGTGCAGTCTGCACCTTGTCCGGGGGAATCCCTGCTTGCACCGGATGCAGCGACTCTTTGACGCACGTATTTATGCAATCAGTTATGTTGACTATGTCAATGAATTGCCCCAACCCTGAGCTAAACCACATAAAAATCCACTTGAATGTGGTAATAATTATAGACCTTTTCAATTACAAAATGTGGACCACAAAATTCTAGGGAAAATAATTGCATTAAGACTATCTCGTACACACACACCAGATTTTTAAATCAGGTTTTGTTAAAAATAGATTAATTGAAGATATTATGCGAAAATTAATGTACACCCTTCACCATGCAAAACCGGCAGTGGCAGTTTCTTTAGATGCTGAGAAAGCTTTTGACTGTTATTGGATGGAAATACTTATTTAGAACTTTAAAGGCATTTGGTTTAGGTCAAAATATTACGTTACCGCGTTATTATTGCGTTAATGCATTAATTAATTAATGCCAACAATTATTTTATCGCATGTTAACGCAGTTTTTATTATTATTATTTTGAAAGTCCGTTGCTCACTGGCTCTGAATACACATACAGTCAAACCCTGGGTCACAGGAGGGGCGGGATGTTGATCAGCCTGCAAATCACCCACCCAAACAAGCAGCGGAGGGAGGCTTCGGCAGACTACTTGGATGCAGTGAGACAAGCGATCAAATGCCACAGCGAAGTGGATAGCTACACACTGCATACTGATTAGTACTGGGGAAGATGTCAGTCTTAACAAGGTTCTTAAAATCACAACGTAGTCGCTAAGCCCTGTAGTTGCTCTTTGCTCCTCAGGTGATCAGGAAACAAGCGCTCCGTGAGTAAACTGCAGTCGCTCTATGGAGAGTAACCATGGCACTGGCTTCTGTGCAGTACACAGCTGTAGCCTATTTAACTTAAGTTAAAATTATAGGCTATATAAATCTACCAAATAGGCCTTCATCTAGTTTTGCAGGGATGCTCTGACATGTGAATTCCCTCCTGTTGATGTCCTATTTAGTAAACAGTAATAGATTCTGGAAACTCACAAACAACAAAAAGTTCAAGACAATTCAACTTCTGCAGCGGGCCGGCATGTGTGTGAGGCGACCACTTCACTTTATATCTGTTAACCTGTTGCTCAGAAGGAGCCTGTTATGATGTTCCGATCATGGCTCTGATCATCGCTTGTTTTAACAAGCTAGATAAAGGTAATGCCCTGGCAGTGGCAAATAGCTTTGGTTTAATATTTGATTTGATTAATGTTTAAGTTGAGATTTACAAGAAATATTTTATTGCTACTGGGTAAAAGGAACACTGCTGGTAAAAAGCAGCTTATTTGTTTAAAGTGTTTGCAAACCCCCTGCGATGGACTGGCGACCTGTCCAGGGTGTACCCCGCCTTTCGCCCGATGTCAGCTGGGATTGGCTCCAGCCCCCCTGTACGCAGGATAAGCGGTTGCCATGATCCTTCCCTCATGGCATGTGTGTTGCATAGTTGGCCCACCAGAGGGCGCTCTGCAGCTCCTTTGTTAACAACACTGCTGCACCACAGAAGAAAACATCAGCTGATCAGAGTGTACCGAGTCCGGAGAGTAGCTAGGGTTAGGGTTACGCAAGATGTGAACATGCTACATAGTAGAAAGTAGTCACTGTGGCAGATTATATGTAAGGTAAAAACTATTACTACCATGACAAAAAATATACATATATAATTTTTGCCTGTTTATTATTATTATTATTAGTAGTAGTATATTTGTATTTTTTTATAGTTTTGATTTGATGGCACCCACTATCTATACACTATTTACTTTAAGTACTATTTATAACTATCAAAAAAGTTTTTTAAAACTGCATTATGTCATGGTATCTTGGTATGGTCTCAACATAACAAATGTTAGGGATAATGTTTGTTTGTGTTATTTGAATCTTAAAATATAGGGAAAAATAAATTTCAGTTGATATATCGGATTTTAAAATCCTCAAATAGCGAAATTGGTATCGGACTTAAAAATCCCAAATCAGTCTTTGTAGAGGCGCTCGACAAGGCTGCCTTTTATCACCTTTGTTATTTATTCTTTCAGAAACACTTGCCTGTATGATTGGCTTTAAGGAAGAAATTCAAGGTATTCCCATTAAGGATTTCTATGTTTTTATTAAGCTATTCATAAATGCTACATTTTGTCAACATTACAGAACCCTGAGTCTCCACTGATTCATAATAATAATAATAATAATAATATAAAATTTATAATAATACATTTTATTTGTAATGCACTTTACATTTGAAACAAAGTGCTACAGTTAAGATCATAAAAGAAAGGTAAAAACATCAATATAAAATACAAATAGATAATGCAACAGCTTGCAGGGTTAATTAAAACTCATAATATCTTAGAGTTAACTAAAGATTTTTTACAGATTATCAGGTTATAAAATAAATTGTGAATAATCCGAAGCAATGCCACTAGATGAACACTGCCATAAGGACTCATTACAGCAGTTTCCCTTTAAGTGGTCTTTAGATGGCAGTAAGTATGTAGGTGTCAATTTAAATTCTGATTTTGACAGTATAGTTTCAAAAACATATAGTTAATAGCTTGAGACATATCATTGAAGACCTGGAAAGATGGAAATACCTGCCACTTTCGCTCTGGGGAAGAATAGACTGAATGTACTGCCACGCTTAATTTATGTTTTTAGTGCTCTCCCTCTTCCTTTTGAAAAAAAAAATGTTTTTAATGAATTAACTTTTTTTTTCTGCTTTTATTTGGATTGCTAAAAGAGCAAGAATTAGTATGAACAAATGATATCTTCATCGGGACAAAGGTGGTCTAGGTCTCCCAAATTTATAACAATATTATATTGCAATCAATTTAAGATACTCTTTAAAATGGGCATATAATTGTAATATGGAATCAATAACATGGGAAGACATAGAAACAAGAATAGTGTCTACCAATAAACCAGAGATATGTATTATGTCAATGTGGTTTAACCCCAAATCCTTGAAAACTATGCAAAATCCCATAATTAAATCCCATAATAACATTTTCATGTGAAATCGCACAATATCTACATGAAGTATAAGATTTCAAGGGTCATAACTCTCCTGATATTCCTCTGTGGAATATCAGCCTTTTTATGGTGAAAGACAAATTATTAGAGGATAGGGGGGAAAAAGGGTATTGTTATATTGAAGAATCTTTTTATTATTCTTTCATGTGATATGGAAATGTACAAAACTTCAAGTATTTTGGAAGAAAATAGTGTCCATGTTGTCTAAGATCACTAAAGAAAACATTCCACTAGATCATAAATTATGCATTTTTTTATATTTATATATTTTATAATGATGATAAAAACTGGCCATAATAAAAAAAAAAAAAGGTAGTGTTGGTTGGATTTATGAGGCTCCTCCAGGCTCCTCCAGGCTGCATGTCGAAGGGGGCAAGAACCCTGAATTGCCCCTGGTGGCTGTTCCACCAGTGTATGAATGTTAGTTTCTGTTTGAGCACTTAGGATCAGTGTGTGAATGGTGAATGCAGATGTAGTGTAAAAGCGCTTTGAGTGGTCAAAAAGACTAGAAAGGCGCTATACAAGTACGGAGCATTTACAATTAATAATATAAATGAGAAATCATTCAAACTTTTGAAACATTATTAAGCTTAGAACAAATGTCAAACGCATCTACTCCTGTAACTTGGTATCAGATTAATACTCATTTACAAAATCACCCTGTCCATACGAAATAATTGTTAAAGTTAACATTAGCCTTGAGGAGCCTATCAGGAAGCAGACAACTATCCAACTCAACACAGCGAAAGTATTTAGAAAACAATAATAATAATAATAAATAAAAAAATAAAGTAGAAGTAACACAATTTAGGCATGTATGCTTCAATGGAGACACATGCATATGTTTCTGAATATGTATTATGTAGGAATGATTATGGGGATATACGTATGATGATATTATTTGGTGGGAGGCATATCGCAGGTAATCCAGGAATACTGTTGTTTCCTCCTTTTTGTTTTTGTTTTTCTTTTTTTAAATGTATTTCTCTAATGTATTTATTTAGGCCTACTTGTATTTTGACTTATGTGAAATACGTATGTCTTTTTTTAAAAGTAATAATTCCAACCCCTCCTGTGTTGTTTACCCAGCTGTTATTTGAACAGCCATAATTTGAATACCAACTTATATTTGAGTTAGATAGTGCTGATATGGAAAGGCTTTAGAACTTGAATGAACAATGCAGTGCTGCTACCTGTTTGGTTATCACATCCGCACTACTAATGATCAATTCTCAAATGTCATTTTAGCCTAAACCAGCCCCTACTCCACAAGCGGCCCCTCAGCAAACTCCCCAACCAGCTGCAGCTCGTGCACCATCCCCAGCTTCTGGCCCAGCACAAGTGCCCTCCACACTGACACATGCAGTGTCTGCACCCACACCGGCCCCACAGTCAGTGCCTCTCTCTGAAACCCCTTCCCCAGTCCCAGAAAACACCCCGCCGGCTTCTATTGCTGCAACAGCAGCTCTGGACTCAAACACAGCCCCAGCCTCGGCGTCAGCTGCTACTCTAGCCTCTGACCCAGCTTCAGCTCCTGAAGCAGCCCCGGCGTCTGCCCCGTCAGACCTCCCCACCCCTGCTGCCCAGCCAGAAGAGAAGCCAAGGGAAGACCCTGAGAATCAACCATCTGCCACTGAACCAGTTCACTCCTTTGCTTCCAGGTTGGAGGACACCAATGTTCACTCATAGCAAGACATTTGTTACTGTTCAGTGTATCCTTTTTAGCCACGCTAGTGGCCCACCACTTTGCTCAAGACTGAAATGTCTCAACAAGTTTTGGAAGAATTGCAATTACATTTTGTACAGACATTCATGTCTGTAAGTGTTGTGGCTTTGGAACGTTGATTAACTGACTTCAGTGTTTTCTCTCTCAAAGCCTTGTTGATGAACTGGGGCTCCTTGAAGAAGCAGCGTCAATACTGGGTAATAAATGTTTCTTCCCTCTGTTATACATGAAAAAATCCCAGTGAGGGCCTGGTCGATAAGAGTTTTCATCAAAAATTGCACCTCTTGTCCTCAGTGATAACCGCCATACCAGGACACACAGACATTATGCTCTGTCATCAGCAGAGCAGCCAGATAAAAGGAATAAGAATTCCATTTAGTGTCCTTGTATTTCAAATAATTCCAGTCAAAGTCCGACTAAAATTGGTGTGAGAAGACAAAGTAGCCTAGTCTAAATAAGTCCGTTTCCACCACTGAACATTTGACTGTGAAATTCCGACACATGTTGAGCTTTGTCTGTCCTCCCAAATCAAGAAAGTTTTCATTTCATCCATCTGACATTAACCTCCTTCGTCTCTGTCCTTCCTCTCTTGTTGTCCCCACAGTGACAGGTCCAGCCTATGAGAACCTGGTGTCAGAGATTATGTCTATGGGTTATGAGCGAGACCAGGTAGTTGCTGCACTCAGAGCCAGTTACAACAACCCAGACCGAGCAGTGGAGTATCTACTCATGGTGAGGTTTGAACCAGCCTGTATGCTTCATTCCACGCCCGGCCTGCCACTGTACTCTAGTGTGTGTTGTAAATGTCTATGTACTGTAGGGTATTCCAGCCGAGGCCAGCGATCTGCCACCTCAGGAGCCAGTTAGACACAGTGCTCCATCCAACCCCCCCACCTCTGCTACACAACAACCACAACAGCCCCCAGCAGTCTCAAACAGTAAGAGCACACGTTTCTTACTTCTATTTATGTCTATCACTCTCTTAGGCTTACTTCCAGATTGTTTCATTACTCGTTTCCACCAAACCAATGCAAAATGCAGCTCACTGGTAAAACATAAACCTCAGGCTGCCACAACGTCTGCACCGCTGTATTCACACGGTACAGCACATGTCACTAGCATCACAAGAGGCAGAAATTACTTGTGATCTCCTTTCCATTTCGGTAAGAGTACTGTAACGTTGGTTGGAATAACTTCCCATGGGTAAGAAAGCCACACAGAAACCAGTTTTTTCAATTATTAATGAGCAAATCAAACATTCCAGTAAGGATTAGATGTTGTTTTTGTCACGTTGCGTTGCCGCTGACTTCGCATCCTAAAAAGAACTTAGCAACCTTTGAAGAGGAGGAAGAAGAAAATAAAACGCTGACCGTGCTGACAGCACAGTTGAGAAACAGTTATATAAACATAGATTATATTCTGGCATTGTCACGAGACTAACACTATGTAGCTAGGTTTTGGGATTGGCCCTGGCTGATACCTAATTTTGTTAAATAAACGTTTTGGGAGAAAAAAGGCTGCGAAAGAAATTGAGACACATCCTACATTCTAGGAACTGTAGGCTCTCCCATTGGCTCGCTGTAGCTGGACCTTTCCCCATTGTGGGCAATGCTGCAAATTAGTGAGCAGACTGCTTCATACCAATAGTGGATTTTAGTATCAATTTGATTGAATACCTTCCTCTGTCAGCTATTTAATTCACTGAAATATCCAGACAGACTTTCCCATCTGGTCATTTTGTCTATATACTGTCTACCTGAATGTACCCTTATCACACTAAACAACAACAGTAAGCAGCCTGTCCCCACCCTAGCAGGGCCAGTGTCTGGCAGCCAGCCTCCCCCTGCTCTAGGAGGCTCTGTGTCCACAGGGAACCCTCTGGAGTTCCTGAGGAATCAGCCTCAGTTCCAGCAGATGAGACAGATCATCCAGCAGAACCCAGCCCTCCTGCCAGCCTTGCTGCAGCAGCTGGGCAGAGACAACCCGCAGCTGCTGCAGGTACCACACCAGCATGCTTCCCAGCTTTCTGCCAGGCATGTCTGTTAGCAAGATAGTTAAAAAAACTGTTCACAGAGCAGCAAGAAAAGTACATCTGATAGCCCAGGAAAAAGTGTCTTTTATGCAGATCTTGGAATAAATAGACTGTTTCAACATGGAAAGGGCACTTCTGATCACTTTAGCGGTTTTCTTATGAACTAAAGCACTTAGTTGAAAATGAACAAATAATGGCAACCATCTGCCACAAACATATTAAACACTCAGTAAGAAAGTGATGTACCTAGTTGTTGTGTTGTGTTAAATGAAATAGATATATTCTGCAATATAAAGTCAAATTATATTTTGAGATTGTGAATGATGTATTTGTAACTGTACAAGTCTAAATACATCTGACACAATCAGAGGTCAGCTTACCATGCTCTACTATTTACTGTTGGATGGGGAGTTGATCTATAATCGTAATCAGCTGTTCTGTGTTGTTTTTGCTAGGGGCTGGGAACCTGTATATTAGCTGTATGGTGGTCTTGTGTGTGTATTACTTGCAGCAAATCACGCAGCACCAGGAGCGTTTTGTGCAGATGCTGAATGAGCCTAGAGGTGGAGACACAGGAGGGGACGGGGCTGAAGCTCAGGGGACACCACAAACCAACTACATCCAGGTCACCCCACAGGAGAAGGAGGCCATTGAGAGGGTCAGTTACCATTGTCTGTAGTAAGTCAGGTTACAGTTATTGAATTGTCTTGTCTGGATAACTGCACAACTTGCGCTATCAAAATAGGGCACACATTGACATACTAGAGTTTTTATTACATATATTACATATTCCAGATTGCTTAAACACATTTCTTCAAATGATGCCTCCTTTTCTCAAAACTCTAAACACAAATCCACAACTTCTCACCCAATTCCCCAAACATCCTATTTTCAGATCAAAATTAAGCTCTCCACTCAAAACCATCCAATCTTGCTGAAAAACCAAACTTTGTCATCAGACATGACACACAAGCCCTCAGAAGCACACACACTACCACACAGTCTGACACACCGTTGAGATAAATTCAAAACAATACTACAAAAACTGGTAATTAGTAATGTTGCTTGTGGTTCTCCCCCTTTTCACACAATGAACACAACAAAAGAAACCAGAAATGTATATATATATGCACATTTTTTATTTCTTAATGTACTGTTCAGTACCACACACCAAACAACAAATAAAAAAATCCTTCTGCCCCAGCGTAGTCTGGGACCGGCCAGAGAATCTCGTCCTCCTTCTCCACCTCCTCTTCCTCCTCTCCCTACTCCTCCTACTCTTTCTCTTCCTTCACATTTCTCTGGATCCATTGTTCCAAAGCTGAATGAACCGACTCTGGCCCTTTTATCTATCTGTTGAAGCTTCTGACTGGTGTGTTATCAATTCGGACTCTTTGTGTTTCCACCTGGGTAGCTGTGTGCTACAATATTGAATTTTAGTGCTTTCTCAATGACCACATGGTGCAGGCAATGAGAAATGAAGGGATTTGTGAGTTTTGCAGTTACAGTTCAACAAATCTGAATCATGCTTCAAAACAGGGGAAACACGGTTCCCCTGTTTTGAAGCACGATTTATATAGTTTAGGGAAATGGGTGTGCTTTTTGATAAATGGCATTATGGCTTTGAATTTTTAATTCAAAAGCCTGGTTATAGTGTTTCAGCAATTGAGAACAACTGTAATAATAGTTAGCTAAAATACACAAACCTGTGATAGGATATTTATTTTTCTTTTCAACAAGATGTTGGATTCACCAAACCATTCTTAGTACACATTATATTTACACTTAGTACACATTATTAATATTAAAAGCATTCTACTGTACACCGCCCCACAAGCTGTACAGAATAAGGAAGCATGAAAATATTATCTTTTTTAACCCATAATGAACTGATGTTATATTTAAAGGCTAGAAGTGGCAACATTCTTGGTAACTCTGTGGCTGCTTGTTTGGAGAGTTCAGACAGTGTTGTATACTGATGGTGAGTATTGATGTATCAGTACATCTTCTGTTTTGATCATAGTGTGATCGATGTGATTCGGTGTTCAACAAATCAATAGAGCAATGTACAGATGCTGATGCAGCAACACAAGCAGCACCAATGTTTTTAATGATTTCATTGACTCTGGGTTAAAAATGTGGTGTATTCCTATATCCTGTTGTGACGTGTTTACATGTGTGCATAGGTGCATGCACCCTTACTGTCTCAGACAGAGCTGTACTGGTGTGTGTGTGTGAGAGTTTATAATGTAAACGTGTGTGTTGTGTTCCAGTTAAAAGCACTGGGCTTCCCTGAAGGCTTAGTCATCCAGGCTTACTTCGCCTGCGAGAAGAATGAGAATCTGGCCGCTAACTTCCTGCTACAGCAAACATGGGACGACGAGTAACCAAACATCACCTGACACATTACTGTTCAACAGAGGGCCGCAGAGTGGATGACTTCGCTACACAAGGTCCCCCTGGGAGAAACAAGGACTGGAGAGGAAGAGGACATTTCTTTTCACACCATGTGACTGTGGTCTGATGATGGTGATGAAGATGAAGACACGCTGTGCTGCTTACTCTACATTTTGCTGTGGTGATCATCATAGGAGCTCACACTGAGCTGTGCCTCACTGCTGCTACATCATTTCTGCTGCCGCTTGTGCCGGGTGTTCACACTGAGAAAAGTCATGCCAGAAAATAGGTCTGCAGTCTGCACCACCAACAGGTGCCCTCTGCAGTCAGCTCACAGGTTGCTTGTAGAGCATGTGGTAAATGTAGACAGTTTATTTACGACAGAGTGTATCTGTAGTGAATATGTACATGACAAAACACATTTTCAACACGTGCAGTTGCACCCTCCATGTTGGGTATACCTGAAAATGTGATGCAGACTGGTGACTTCACTGTTTGAGAGCTAGCATTGCTTTATATTAAAGTTCAGGTCGGATCAATTCATTTCTTCTGCTTCTTTGATCCTTGGAAAAAATCCTAATAACTCTGCAAGTTAAATAAAATTGCTGCTGTTTGAATTGCTAAGAAGTAACTCATGGGAAGTCAAAATAAAACATTTGTCTTTTTTTTTTTTTTTTTTACCTAGACAGTCGAAATTTTGACTTTTATGTTATTATTGACTCACCATGAGTATTATTTATATTTATAATTTGCCCAACTTTTTTGTGGAAATGGGCTTCCAAAAACAGACAAGTTTGGTCAAATCGGTCAGCTGTAAGCAGAGATTAACTTCACAACCAGAACCGGATTTCATTGCATGTTCGGGGTTCTGGAACATGCAATGAAATTGTTATTACAATCACAGTATTTTATAATTACTTATAAGAGTATGTGTGTTGTGGTGTATTTTGTGGGAGATGAGGGTACACCGGGATGCAGCGCTCATCTTGAATTGTCATTATGATATTTCACTATGGAGGGTTTGTTTGTTTTGTTCTTTTGCAGATGAAGGAATTTGAAAGTTGATTATGAAGTACCACTAGCATGCTTTGTGAGCTAAACTTGAGATTTTGTAAAAAGAATAGTTGCGTTCTTTCTCACTATTTCCTTAGCTTGAATGATCAAAAAGCCCACTTCCTACTTTTAGACAATCTGTTTCTGTTTAGTTTGTCTCATATCGCATCTACTATGCATCTTAAAGCTGTAAGCGTCTGAGCCGTTGCTCCTTCATGCCTTATGGGTTGTTAAAGATTTTCATTTTACAAATGGTGTTATGGTTTACAATATGGTGTTAAGAGTGTCCTAGGATTGGTGATCATCATTAGTTTTAATTATTGATAGTTAATCACTTACCGTTTCAAAAGTGGACTAAATAGAATTTGAATAAGTGCTTAAAGCCAAAACAAAAAGAATATTTTTTCAGCTTTCAGCATGTGCTGTTTCTCCTTTCACTTCCTTTCATCTTTAGTGTGATTGAACTGGCAGTGACTGGAAGTTTTGCAATACATTGTAAATGGAGTACGCAGATTATTTTTTTTGGGGGGGGGGGCACTTTACTGTGACAAATGCTGCTCTTTAGCTGTGAGAGGTTGTTTGCATGAGATTGTTAGTTATTTATAGCTTAGCAGGGGGTTAGGAAGGGTGCCACCAATAGTGTGGTGTTTTTCTGAGCTCAGTTTATGTGTTCTTTTACCCATTTTGTCCAATGTTTTGTTTTCTTTTTGGGTTTATAAAAAATCTTACAACCTTAAATACACCGGTTGGGGTTTTGCTGAATTGTTGTTAAAACCCTGTGTTTCAGCATTGTGTAAAATAAATGGCTTTTACAAAGTGGGTGCGACAAGGAGATGTTTTCTCTTGAGTGAATGAAGTGCAAGCCTCAGGTATGTTCACTGTAAGGTACACTTCCAGGTTAGTTTTAGCTGGTGATAGAACAGCAGTGGATATGTTCAAGGAGTGTACATCAGTGTATCATGCCTTTAAACATAGCAAGCACAAAGTGATGAATAAAATATGTTAATTAATAAGTTAATTTTACAAATGAAGGCTTTCCTTTATGGTCAATTTTAGTTTAACATTTTTTAAACTCCACGATTTATGCAATGGGATTTAAAATGTAGCTATCACACACCAGCACCTTAATACAGACCGACATAAGCTGCACTGTGGTTCAGCACAACATGACTATAAGGTACACTAATTTAACTTTATGCTGAATTAAAGAAATTACCCAACAACAAATAAAAATATGTTTGTTATTTTGCAGACCATACAGTGTTTGGCAACATAAAATTAGCAGATCTTAAATGGTGTATTGAAGTCTGTTCCCTGGTCGATAAATGTTTCCATGCCCGGGTGTGAGGGATTGGCTTGTCCGCTAAGGGGAGTGTTGCCTTGGAGTGGGGGAGGGGGAGGAGATGGAGAGAGGGGGAGAGAGAGAGGGAGGGAGAGATGGAGAGAGGGAGGCAGGGAGAGAGGGAAGGGGAGATGGAGAGAGGGGAGGGAGAGAGAGGGAGGGAAGGGGAGAGGAGAGAGGGGGAGGGAGGGAGAGAGAGGAGGGGGAAGGGGAGATGGAGGGAAGGGGAGATGGAGAGGGAGGGAGAGAGAGAGAGGGAGGGAAGGGGAGATGGAGGGAGGGGAGATGGAGAGGGAGGGAGAGAGGGAAGGGAAGGGGAGGGAGAGAGGGGGAGGGAAGGGGAGCGTTCCCGCAGCAACAGGGAAGATGGCAGCTCACACATCTCTCACTCAGGTATAGATGCAGCAATTTACGACTCTACACTTTAATTTTAGGCTAAGATAATGAATAGAATGATATAGTATGTGTCATTCATGACATTGCATTTTGTTTTGCTTTAAAAAAAAAGAGCTCTCTTTGGAGTGCAGCTAGAAATGAGGCAGTCAGCTGGTCGAATAAGGCCTAACGTTAACGTTATTGCAGTACCGTTAGGTAGCGGACTTGTTAGCCTCAGCTGGTGCTAGCTAGCCGTGTAGCTGTTAACTTGCGACATAACTACACGTACTAATTACAAATTGAAACATAACGAGCAACGTGGGCACTGTATAGAAAGTTAGACCTGGGCAGGCCTGCGCACGGACGTGTAACAAAGCATCAGAAAGTCATAACGCTCAGTGCTTAAGCTAGCAAACCTTAGCTAGCCTAGCATTGATGCCAAGTAGTATGAGGATGGAAATACACATGCTCTTGTGGCTATAATGCATGCTATAACATTACAGCACGCTAACCTGGGCTAAGCTTTCATTAAAGGTGCTTAGTGTTGGCTCAGTAGTCTTAACGTTCACTAGTGGCCAATTTAATGCTAAGGCTGGTGTGCACCCACGGTAGCGAGTGCCTTGCCTGCTGCGGTTGCGCAACAGTCATTAAATGACAATACAGTTGGTTTGCCATATCATTGTTATTGTGAGCAGAAGGGCATGGGAGCTCTTTCATCAAACCGAAATTCAAAGCTTATTTCAGCTGGTTGAAATACGCTGGTAATAGAAGCGTAACGTGAAATTTTAGAATACACTGCTTAAATGTTATCGGTGATTGTATCTGAAGGAACCTCACCTGTAGAGAGAAGTGCATGGGTTGATTTACAGTGCAAAACTGTTCTCTTTCTGCCACAGTTGTCAAGTGGGAACCCTGTATATGAGAACTTTTACAGACAGGTAAGACGATGACTCCAAGCATATTGCTTCTATACTGTAACATGGGCGCGCGCCTTGGGTCCCCGGCTCCTCCAGTCTGCATGACGAAGTGTCCTTGGGCAAAATACTGAACCCCAAATTGCTGAGTGTATGAATGTTAGTATCGTTTTGATGAGTGGCACCTTGCATAGCATCCATTGCCATCAGTGTGTGAATGGGTGAATGTGACGTGCAGTGTAAAGGTTTGAGTGGTGGGAAGACTAGTAAGGCCTATATAAATGCTTTCCATTTGCATTAATCCTTATTTATGCAAAACACGTGTGAAAAACAGGCCATTCCACCGAATGCGTGCCATTAGGTTGTCTTCCAAAATAAACTTCATTTTATTATGTTTTTTCAACACTGAATCTAATAACACACTCATTAAACTATTTCAAATATATATTGGTCACTATCAGGCAAATTTGTTTAACTTTTTTTTCTCAGTCCTGTTACCAAAACTCGTGTCATTTTAAAAGCAAGTTGTTTTTGTTTTTCCCTAACAAAAGTGTTTTTAAAGAAATTGTTGGTTACATGTTGTTGTATATTTGTGGCAAAATTGTACTTTATATGCAAGTTTTTTTTGTTGTTGTTTTTTTTAAATGCAACACCTTTTTTTGTTTTAAACGAGAGCACAACCTCAGGCTTATCAATGTTTTTATCATGTAATGTATTAAACAATTGGCTAAATGATTGGCCAAACTTACTTTAAAAAATAGTGTTTATATTTCATTTTTATTAAAAACAAAAACAATTTAATAACATGAATGAGCTCTCGGTAACAGGAATGAGCACTGGGTAACAGGAAAGATAACAGGAATGGGCGCTGGGTAACAGGAAAGATAACAGAAATGAGCGCTGGGTAACAGGAAAGATAACAGAAATGAGCGCTGGGTAACAGGAAAGATAACAGGAATGGGCGCTGGGTAACAGGAAAGATAACAGAAATGAGCGCTGGGTAACAGGAAAGATAACAGGAATGGGCGCTGGGTAACAGGAAAGATAACAGAAATGAGCGCTGGGTAACAGGAAAGATAACAGGAATGGGCGCTGGGTAACAGGAAAGATAACAGAAATGAGCGCTGGGTAACAGGAAAGATAACAGAAATGAGCGCTGGGTAACAGGAAAGATAACAGAAATGAGCGCTGGGTAACAGGAAAGATAACAGAAATGAGCGCTGGGTAACAGGAAAGATAACAGGAATGGGCGCTGGGTAGCAGTAATGATAATAGGAATGAGCGTTGGGTAACAGTATGCAGAAATATTCAAATACACTAGGCAAAAATAACACATTTATAACAAATGCAAAAAACTTCATGGTACCAATGGATGAATTAGTTGATCTAGTTTCATATGACACTAGTATCATCACTCTTGAGGTAAAATAGAGCCCACCACAACCCATAAAAAATTGTAAAGACCCCCTCTGGGAATGCTGCTAAGGAGATGAAGAGAGTGTATTTGACTGACAGGACTGAAAGTAATAGGACTGAGCTTAAAGCATAGAATTAGCAAATACGTGAAATATAGTCACATGGTGTCCATGCTAATAGCATGAGGACACTGGGCACATTCTAGTTATTTACCACAAATTTGTATTTTTATAATAACAAATATGTCTTTTGATCTTCCCAAGACCTTCAGAAGATGCAGATGATGCAACTTTCTCTTAAACATGGGACTGGTAGAATGTACCAAATTCTTTAGAGGGGGGGATATATTAGGGTAACAGGCCTGAGTGATAAAACAACTAAAATGTGTATTTTTACGCAAACATTATTACCTTTTTATGAAGAAAATATGTTTAAAGCATAGCTGGGATATGGGGTCACTCATCAGTGCAAGAAAAACAAGATTTCTGAAGGTATTTAAAGCCCCCCTCCAGCCAGTGTTAACAACCGTTTTTGGTTAAAGTCCTTTCTCAAACAGAGAATGGGGGTGTGGTTAATAGTCGGAAGTAATACATTACCATGACAACCAAAAACTGACCGGCTGGAGTGTTCACTAATTATATGATGCGTTAACATCGCTACACTGTAAAGTTTAGCACACTGTCAGGAGTAGCTATTACTTACCTATTAATGTGCAAGTATCAGCTGTTATCAATCATAGATGGTCCTGTCATGCACTGCACACGATAACTCCCACTATGTTTTATGGCGCGCTTACTTTACCGCGGGGGGGGGTATATTACTCTGTTGTAACTGTATGTAAAGACTACTGATACCATTTCCTCCGCTGATGCATTGTTGAAACGGCCGTAAGTAAAATGCATGTTGCAGACATAAGACGATGGCAGGTGAAAGTGCGACGTGTTTTCTGTCGTCCCAAGATGTCCAACCACTGATTACAAACACCGCACACACAGATGCCATAATGAAAATGAACAGCACACTAAACCAAGAGGAGGAAACTAAAAAATAAAATGAAGACCCTCTGTTAGCTAACTTTCTGCAATAACTATGCTAGCTAACTACACCTGGCTAACTACAACTTAGTTAACTTAGCTAACGTTAACTAAACTAGAAGGACCAACCGACTATCAGACACAGAGAGACATACTTACTGTAAGTTCTAAGTAAATTACATGATAAATTGGTTAGCTAAAAAAGATGTTTATCGCTTTGACGCTCTGACTTAACGAGGCGTGACGGCGTTATTTTTTTAATGAGGCATGACAGTGCGCCTGCGCAAGCTTGGAGATGACTTATGGAATTAGTATAGTCATACGTCACAACCCCGTTTTAACAACAAAGCGATTTTTGCAACTTTGAGCACAAAATTAAGCTGTGTGTCAAAAAATATTTGGCAAACTATGTGGGTAATCAGCATTGTAAGGAAATGACTCAGAAAAATATGAAATATCATAGAAATGTCAATACACTGGAGGGGGACTTTAATCATGATATTTCATGGTAGAGTATAGTTTTAGGGAGTGGGGAGAGGAAACAAATGCTATTTTTTAGTGTTCTAGGTAGTTTTTTAGTTTTAGAGTAGAGTAGAATAATGTGCAGGACTCTTTGCTTAATAAGTTTTTAAAAGTAAATTTTCATGCATATTTATACATTTTATGTCGTGGGGACAGAAATGGCACAGATTCTGCGGAATAGCCCAAAAATGAAAGATTTAAATATGACATAATGCA